GGTGATTTCTCGCTTTCTGTCTCTCTGTCTCTCTCTGTCTGTCTGGCGAGCGCACATGCCCTATAGCAAAAACCTCTCCAAAAAAAAGAGACCTACATGCCCTAAGGATCAAGCCAGCCCCATTCAAGTCGACACACATGTATAAAGCCCCTACTGAGTGCATCCTATGGTGGTCGGTGCTAAAGCAGGGGAGGGAATCCCTCTTGGACCCAGGCTCCTGTGATGGGCCTGATACTGTGCACGGCAGAAAAGCGCCAAGACCAAGACCGTCGATGTCCCTGTCCTGACAACACAGAACTGTGGGGCTGATGGGGGGCAAATAAAACCACTCCAATAAACGCAGAAATCTAATCCTCGGGGTGATTCGAGAGGCCCTCTCTGAGCAGCTGACATTTAAACAGAGCCCCAACGCCATGTATCAGTCCACCTGGAAATTAGAATCATCCGAGAAGCTTTTGAAAAGTATTCGTGCGGGTCAGCAAGTGGTTAAGGCAGCTGGATCCCACATGGCCAACTGCATGGTTCTAGTCCCGGACTGGGCAGCTTGCAAAACATGTCAGGCGTGTGTGTGTGTGTGTGCCCAAAACTGCAAGGAAGAGAATGGAGGAGAAGGGAATGTGGCATGGTCACCATCCCCCCACCCTCCAGGAACTGATTCCTCACTTTCTTTTTCCCTCCAGTGAGCACACATATCCTATAGCAAAACTAAAAGAAAATTTTTTGATTAAAAAATAAAAGTATTGGTGGCTGGGCCCTGCCCACAAAGATTCTAGTTAAATGGGTCTGGTTTAGGACCTAAGCATAATATTATTTTTAACTCTCCTGATTATTCTAATGGGTGAGAAGACTGTCTGATGAGCAAGAGGAACATTCCAAGCAGAGGCAAATAGCGTGTGCAAAGGCTCTGAGGTGGGAAAGCATTGGGCACATTCATGGAAGAGAAGGAAGACTGACGAGTCTGGGTGCCATGGGAGGGACTCGGTGGTGCAAGGTGAGTTTGCACAGACAGACGCAAAACGGCCGAGCTCACAAGAGGCTCTTACATGGACCCAAGCGTGCATTTGTCAAACTACAGAAAGAACTCAGAGTACAGTGACATGCTGGGCTCTCCACTGAGCACACTACCTCCTTCTAGCAAATTCTCCATGGACAGCAGATTACCACATGACATGATGGGGCGAGCAGAGCGTATGGTTGGTGGGTACCTTATTTACCTCTGAGTTTGTTCATCAAAGGATTTAGGGCAGCTTGGCAAGATACATACAGTCAAGCAAGATAAAATGAATTAAAGGGGGACCAGCAGTTGGCATAATGGCTATGTCGCTGAACTCCCATGTAGCTGACCACGGTTCAAGTCCCAGACCCGGTGGCTTAAACTCATGCCGGGTACATGTGCATGTGTGCCCAAGATCCCGGGAGGAGAATGGAGGAGAAGGGATTGCGGTGTGGCCATCCCCGCTGGGGGGGTGATTTCTCATTTTCTGTCTCTCTGTCTCTCTCTTTCTGGCGAGTACACGCGCCCTATAGCAAAAGCCTCTCAAAAAAAAAAAAAAAAGAATTAAAAAAAAAAAATTAAAAACGAGGCCAAGCTCAATGAAGACCAAAATTAGGCTAAAACCAGAGGTGAGGCCAGTCCAGAAAATGCACACTGTATGGGTCAACGCTTTTTGGCAATGAGAATTAAGAGGGAAATACCAGCCCATAGAAATGCTAGCACCCGCTGGATAAAAACGAATGTGTTACTCAGGACCATGAAGTCTCCCCGGCTCCCCCGTGCTGAGACTGCAGACCCTCCTTGCCCCTGAGTCTCAGAGAGAAGACATCTTGTCTGAAGTGGAAAACCGTCCTCGACCAAGCACGGCAGTTCTGAGTTTTGTCAGACGGCTTCTTACACTTTTCCCCCATGTAGGCTGATTTCATCTGACCAAAGCGTTTCCTAAAAGCAACCGGAGGGTGTGCCCCGGGAGGAAAGTGCGGGTTAGTACAATGTGTGCTATTCCATGACATTGCCAGTGCACTCATTAAATCCAGAGATAAAGGCTGATTTCAGATATGCTCCAGAAAATTCAAGAAGAAACGACAGTGCTCACCCACACTTGGGGAAGATTTGGGGTGGCACAGAGTTCACAACGGGTCGGGCCTTCCGCAGGAGCTCCAGAAGTTTCCTTGGCGGCGTCCCACCCAGATGGTATCTTCCCTTCCTGGACAGATACGACCAGCTTGCGGAAGGCAGAGGAGCTGGGCAGGGGCGGCTGCTCTAGAAGGAGGCCGAGGCCTGCCGTCTGGGAAGCAGAGCAAGCATGATTTACGAGCTCAGAGCCTCAGGCCTGGGCTGTTTTCTGCACTGAATGTAGACAGAGCTGAGGGATAGGGTGTGTCTGCAGGCCCAAGCACTGCCGCCCATCCTGGAAGGGGCAGGGACGGCCTGGCCGAGGCTGGCTGCAGGGGTTCCCCCACCCGCTCAGGTCCCTGGGTGCTGCTCTCCCTGCATGGACTCTGCCATTTTAACGGTCTCACATGCCAGGCTTTGTGCGTCCTCCCACTCCTGACCGGCAGAACTGCCTTTACTACTGCCTCTTCCCCACCCGCCAGTCTTCGGGAACAGTTTAACCTCAGAGGGGTTTTCCTGGGGGGCAGGGGAGAGAAGACAGCTATCTAACTTTCCTCCTTTCCCGCAACTGTCTCATGTTGGTATCGTTTATTCTCCATCTCTCTTTCTCTTCCTCTCATTCTTTTTTTTTCCTTTCCTTTTCTTTTTTCCTCTCATTCTTTTCTTTTTCTTTTTTTTTTTTTTTT